CCCCCAACATCCCCAGACACTAGGGAAAGTGGAGTTGGTTGGTCTGCCACTCAGGGAAGGAACCGAGGCCCCGAAGCAGCCAAGGGCTTGCTTGGCAGATGTCACAGGGCGGGCATACTGTTGTCGGGGTGGCACTTACGGGGCACCAGGACACTGTTGCAACCGTCGCTCTGACAGCAGTGGGCGTTGGACACCATGTAGTCATTGGGGCTCATGGTGGTAGATACGAAGCCGGAGTAGCAGTCTTTAAACTTCATGCAGGTCTTGAAGGTGTTCACTGACTTTCGGCCCTCTGCAGAGTGGGGACAGGAATTAATCACTCCCTCCCATTGACAGGCCCTGTCTCTCTCTCTCTCTCTCTCTCTCTCTCTCTCCCTCTCTTCCCCTCCCCCACACACACACACACACACACACACACACACACACAAAATAATGTTTTCGAGACAGAGTCTCACTATGTAGCCCTGGCTTCCCTAGAACTTGCTCTGTAGACCAGGCTGGCCTGGAACACAGAGATCCTCCTGCATCTGCCTCCCCACTGGGATTGTATATATATATTGTGTGTGTATGACTTCAGATCTGGAAGTGCTCCTTGGTTCCCTGGCCAACACCATGAGGTCCACTGGCACACTGAGTATGGCCTGTCAGCCTCTTTGTTCTCTCGAGATGGCAGAGGTTCTTGAGTTGAGAACAACATGAAGGCTGTGGGAAGGAGCTTTTGGGAGAAGATGTATAAACGGTCTTTGGGGTAGGAAACTCATCTTCTGTAAACTCTGTGAAGAAGTCTCCAAACACGCCCTTTTCACGTTGAATGACATGTTGGAATGGCGGCAGCAGGTTTGTTGGCAGATATTTGTTCATTAGCAGACATAGCGAGAGATCTAACGTTGGCTGTAACGTTCCTCCAAGGCATCTTTCTGACAGCGTGGGTGGCCATGTACATGCTTAGCCATGTTACAGTGCTGCTCGACCTTTGGGCTGCGGTTTCCTGGTAGGGTCTTACGTGAAGCATCGCGGTGCACAGTTCTATGTGATTGACCCACCAGGCATTTCAACTGCAGCTCTGCCATTGGCAAAGCCAGGCAAGCCACAGAGATAGAAACAGAGGAGCTTTGCTGGGCGGTGCAGAGGCAGGCAGATCTCTGTGAGTTCGAGGCCAGCCTGGTCTCCAGAGCGAGTTCCAGGATAGCCTCCAAAGCCACAGAGAAACCGTGTCTCGAAAAACCAAGAAGAAAAAAGAAAAAGAAATCGAAGAGCTTCGAGTGAATGACTCGCCGTGACATAGGTCAGTTGCAAGAAATAGTTTGCACAGTACACAGTGAAGTTAAGGATAGAGCATTTGAAATAGAGGTCACCTGTGCTGGCGAACGAATTACAGGAAGACATGAAATCATTGCAAAGGATGTAAGGGAGAGCCAGGTGGTGGTGTTGCATGACGGGAGGCAGAGGCAGGGGGATCTCTGTGAGTTCGAGGCCAGCCTGGTCTACAGAGCGAGTGCCAGGACAGGTTCCAAAGCTACACAGAGAAACCCTGTCTCGAAAAAAAACCCAAAAAGATGCAAAGGAGAAAGCAGAGAAATATGCCATGAAATTTTTGAAGGGAGAAGATGATCCAGATTATGACAGTCTGTAATGTTTTCTTCCCATCTCTTCTGGTTTTCATTTCTGTCAGTCTCCTATGAATGACTAGCACCATGGATTATACATACACACCAAACAATCTTCATTAAATTGTTATCAAATATATATATATATATATATATATATA